GGGAAACCGGGAATTCCTGATCCCGGGAAACGGGGAATTCCCGATCCCGGGAAACAGGGAATTCCCGATCCTGGGAAATGTGGGATTCCTGATCCTGGGAAACGGGGAATTCCTGATCCTGGGAAATGGGGGGGAATTCCTGATACAGGGAAACGGGGAATTTCCGATCTGGGGAAACGGGGGAAAACGGGGGATTCCTGATCCGGGGAAACGGGGGAATTCCCACTGCAGATCCAGGGAAATGGGGGAAATTCCAAACAAATGGGAGGGATCCCAAATCCAAATACAGATCCCAAACCCAGGGAATGGTCACCAAACCCAGGGAATGGTCACCAAATCCAGGGAATGGTCACCAAACCCAGGGAATGGTCACCAAATCCAAGGAATGGTCACCAAACCCAGGGAATGGTCTCCAAACCCAGGGAATGGTCACCAAATCCAGGGAATGGTCACCAAACCCAGGGAATGGTCACCAAATCCAAGGAATGGTCACCAAATCTAAGGAATGGTCACCAAATCTAAGGAATGGTCTCCAAATCCCGGGAATGGTCACCAAACCCAAGGAATGGTCTCCAAATCCAAGGAACGGTCACCAAATCCAAGGAACGGTCACCTACATCTCCCAAATCCAGGGAATGGTCATCAAACCCAGGGAATGGTCACCAAACCCAGGGAATGGTCACCAAATCCAAGGAATGGTCACCAAATCCCGGAAATGATCACCAAATCTAGGGAAAGGTCACCAAATCCAAGGAACGGTCACCAAATCCTGGGATACCCGCCCCCCGGCTCCCAAATCCCGGGATACCTCACGGAACTGACCGTCAGCCTCCTCTTGACGTAGCGGATGACCAGGAAGGTGTCGTGGTTGAGGTTGCGCACCATGGCCGTGCAGCCGCCCAGCTCCGTGGGCCGCCCGTCGCGGTCGTGGTCGTAGGTCAGCGAGCCGTTGTTGACCATGGCCGAGATGTAGGGGAACACGCGCTGCCGGAGGGGGAGAAACGGGATCAGGGTCCGGGATCACGGAGAGACGCCGGGAAACGGAGCTGGGGTGGAACCGAAGTTCCTTCAGCCCATGTGGATCTGCTCAAAACGACCCTGGAGTGATCCCAAAGTTCCTGGAGATCTCCTCAAAACAACCCTGGAGGGATCCCAAAGTCCCTGGAGATCTCCTCAAAACAACCCTGGAGTGATCCCAAAGTCCTTCAATCCCTGGGATCTCCTCAAAACAACCCTGGAGTGATCCCGAAGTCCTTCAATCCCTGGGATCTGCTCAAAACAACCCTGGAGTGATCCCCAAGTTCCTTCAGCCCATGGGGATCTCCTCAAAATGACCTCAGAGTGATCCCAAAGTCCCTGGAGATCTCCTCAAAGCAACCCTGGAGGGATCCCAAAGTCCTTCAATCCCTGGGATCTCCTCAAAACAACCCTGGAGTGATCCCAAAGTCCTTCAATCCCTGGGATCTCCTCAAAATGACCTCAGAGTGATCCCAAAGTCCTTCAATCCCTGGGATCTCCTCAAAACAACCCTGGAGTGATCCCAAAGTCCTTCAATCCCTGGGATCTCCTCAAAACGACCCCGGAGTGATCCCGAAGTTCCTTCACCCCACAGGGATCTGCTCAAAACAACCCTGGAGTGATCCCAAAGTCCTTCACCCCACAGGGATCTGCTCAAAACAACCCTGGAGTGATCCCAAAGTTCCTTCAGCCCACAGGGATCTCCTCAAAATGACCTCAGAGTGATCCCAAAGTCCCTGGAAATCTCCTCAAAACAACCCTGGAGTGATCCCAAAGTCCCCGAGGATCTCCTCAAAACAACCCTGGAGTGATCCCAAAGTCCTTCACCCCACAAGGATCTCCTCAAAACAACCCTGGAGGGATCCCAAAGTCCTTCAGTCCATGGGGACCTGCTCAGAACAATCCTGGAGTGATCCAGAAAAACCACCTGGATGACCCCAAACTCCATCCTGATGGATCCCAAACTCCTTCATTCCCCAAAAATCCACTCAGAATCCACCTGGATGACCCCAAACTCCATCCTGATGGATCCCAAATTCCTTCATTCCCCAAAAATCTCCTCTGGAAGACTCTGGGACCATCCTGATGGATCCCAATGGATCCCAAACTCCTTCATTCCCCAAAATCCACTCAAAAACCACTGGGACAATCTCACTCCATCCCAGTGGATCCCAAATTCCTTCAATTCCCAAAAAATCCATTCAGAAACCACTGGGACCATCCTGATGGATCCCAAACTCCTTCATTCCCAAAAAACCCACTCAGAATCCACCGGGACCATCCTGATGGATCCCAAACTCCTTCATCTCCCAAAAACCCACTCAGAATCCACTGGGACCATCCTGATGGATCCCAAACTCCTTCATCTCCCAAAAATCCACTCAAAATCCACCGGGACCATCCTGATGGATCCCAAACTCCTTCATCCCCCAAAAAATCCACTCAAAATCCACCGGGACCATCCTGATGGATCCCAAACTCCTTCATCCCAAAAAATCCACTCAGAATCCACCGGGACCATCCTGATGGATCCCAAACTCCTTCATCCCAAAAAATCCACTCAAAAACCACCGGGACCATCCTGATGGATCCCAAATTCCTTCATTCCCAAAAATCCACTCAAAAACCACCGGGACCATCCTGATGGATCCCAAACTCCTTCATCTCCCAAAAATCCACTCAGAAACCACCGGGACCATCCTGATGGATCCCAAACTCCTTCATCTCCCAAAAACCCACTCAGAATCCACCGGGACCATCCTGATGGATCCCAAACTCCTTCATTTCCCCAAAAACCCACTCAGAAACCACCTGGATGACCCCAAACTCCATCCTGATGGATCCCAAACTCCTTCATTCCCAAAAAATCCACTCAGAATCCACCGGGACCATCCTGATGGATCCCAAACTCCTTCATCTCCCAAAAATCCACTCAGAATCCACCGGGACCATCCTGATGGATCCCAAACTCCTTCATCCCAAAAAATCCACTCAGAATCCACCGGGACCATCCTGATGGATCCCAAACTCCTTCATCTCCCAAAAATCCACTCAGAATCCACCGGGACCATCCTGATGGATCCCAAACTCCTTCATCCCAAAAAATCCACTCAGAATCCACCGGGACCATCCTGATGGATCCCAAACTCCTTCATCTCCCAAAAATCCACTCAGAAACCACTGGGACCATCCTGATGGATCCCAAACTCCTTCATCTCCCAAAAATCCACTCAGAATCCACCGGGACCATTCTGATGGATCCCAAACTCCTTCATCCCAAAAAATCCACTCAGAATCCACTGGGACCATCCTGATGGATCCCGATGGATCCCAATGGATCCCAAACTTCTTCAATTCCCCAAAAATCTGCTCCAGAAGACTCTGGGACCATCCTGATGGATCCCAGTGGATCCCAAACGCCTTCATTCCCAAAAATCCACTCAGAAACCACCGGGACCATCCTGATGGATCCCAAACTCCTTCATCTCCCAAAAATCCACTCAGAAACCACCGGGACCATCCTGATGGATCCCAAACTCCTTCATCTCCCAAAAATCCACTCAGAATCCACCGGGACCATCCTGATGGATCCCAAACTCCTTCATCTCCCAAAAATCCACTCAGAAACCACTGGGACCATCCTGATGGATCCCAAACTCCTTCATCTCCCAAAAATCCACTCAGAAACCACTGGGACCATCCTGATGGATCCCAAACTCCTTCATCTCCCAAAAATCCACTCAGAAACCACTGGGACCATCCTGATGGATCCCAAACTCCTTCATCTCCCAAAAATCCACTCAGAATCCACCGGGACCATTCTGATGGATCCCAAACTCCTTCATCCCAAAAAATCCACTCAGAATCCACTGGGACCATCCTGATGGATCCCGATGGATCCCAATGGATCCCAAACTTCTTCAATTCCCCAAAAATCTGCTCCAGAAGACTCTGGGACCATCCTGATGGATCCCAGTGGATCCCAAACGCCTTCATTCCCAAAAATCCACTCAGAAACCACCGGGACCATCCTGATGGATCCCAAACTCCTTCATCTCCCAAAAATCCACTCAGAATCCACCGGGACCATCCTGATGGATCCCAAACTCCTTCATCCCAAAAAACCCACTCAAAATCCACCGGGACCATCCTGATGGATCCCAAACTCCTTCATCTCCCAAAAATCCACTCAGAAACCACTGGGACCATCCTGATGGATCCCAAACTCCTTCATCCCAAAAAATCCACTCAGAATCCACTGGGACCATCCTGATGGATCCCAAACTCCTTCATCCCAAAAAATCCACTCAGAAACCACCGGGACCATCCTGATGGATCCCAATGGATCCCAAACTCCTTCATCCCAAACAAATCCCCGCCATCCATCCCCTCCCCCCGCCCCGGCATTCCGTGCAGGCTCTCCCGGGCGTTCCGGGTATCCCGGGAATTCCCGCGGATCCGTGGGAAGGCGGGAGGCGGTACCTGGTTTCCAGGGCTGTACCTCCTCTTCTGAGCCTGCCCTCCGGGGTGAGCGCAAAGCGGGAGAGAGAGCACAGAGCAACAGCGTCACACGGCCCCCAAAATCCCGGGAATTCCGACCGGGAGCGGAGAGGGGAGAGCGCCGGGAAAAATACCGGGATGGGCGAAAATCCCCAATATGTGAAAATCCCGGGAATTCCGACCGGGAGCGGAGAGGGGAGAGCGCCGGGAAAAATACCGGGATGGGCGAAAATCCCCAATATGTGAAAATCCCGGGAATTCTGACCGGGAGCGGAGAGGGGAGAGCGCCGGGAAAAATACCGGGATGGGCGAAAATCCCCGGGATTGGTAAAATTCCCGGGATAGGCGAAAATCCCGGGAATTCCGACCGGGAGAGGCGAGGGGAGGGAGGGGAGAGCGCCGGAAAATTCTGGGATGCGCGAAAATCCCCGGGATTGGCGAAAATCCCCAATACATGAAAATCCCGGGATGGGTGAAAATCCTGGGATGGGTGAAAATCCCGGGATACACGAAAATCCCGGGAATTCCGACCGGGAAAGGCGAGGGGAGGGAGGGGAGAGCGCCGGAAAAATTCCGGGATGCGCGAAAATCCCTGGGATCGGCAAAATTCCCGGGATCGGCAAAATTCCCAGGATTGGCAAAATTCCCGGGATAGGCGAAAATCCCCAATACACGAAAATTCTGTGATGGGTGAAAATCCTGGGATACACGAAAATCCCGGGAATTCCGACCGGGAGAGGCGAGGGGAGGGAGGGGAGAGCGCCGGAAAATTCTGGGATGCGCGAAAATCCCCGGGATTGGCAAAAATCCCCAATACATGAAAATCCCGGGATGGGTGAAAATCCTGGGATGGGTGAAAATCCTGGGATACACGAAAATCCCGGGAATTCCGACCGGGAGAGGCGAGGGGAGGGAGGGGAGAGCGCCGGAAAAATTCCGGGATGCGCGAAAATCCCTGGGATTGGCAAAATTCCCGGGATCAGCAAAATTCCCAGGATTGGCAAAATTCCCGGGATAGGCGAAAATCCCCAATACACGAAAATCCTGGGATGGGCGAAAATCCCGGGATACACGAAAATCCCGGGAATTCTGTCTGGGAACGGTGAGAGGAGGGAGGGGAGAGCGCCGGAAAAATTCCGGGATGCGCGAAAATCCCCGGGATCGGCAAAATTCCCAGGATTGGCAAAATTCCCGGGATAGGCGAAAATCCCCAATACACGAAATTCCCGGGATGGGTGAAAATCCCGGGATGGGTGAAAATCCCGGGAAATGCGGCGCGATAACGGCGCCGGCGTTCCTGGAGCTTCCCTCGGGAATGAAATCCGACTTTTTTGGCCTTTTTTTGACCTTTTTGAAGATTTTTTGGGGAAAGGATGGGAAGAGGAGGAAGAGGAGGAGGAAGGAGGAAAAACCTCCTCAACCTCTACTCCAGCTTTACTCAGGCTTTACTCACGGTGTGGATTTTGCTGAGCTCTGAAATCCTCTCCCCACAAAACCAATCCCGGAATTTCCCGTTTTCCCTGATTTTCATCCCAATTTTTTTTTTGGGAAAAGGAGGAAGAGGAGGAGGAAGAAGGAGGAAAAACCTCCTCGACCTCTACTCCAGCTTTACTCAGGCTTTACTAACGGTTCAGAATTCCTGGTGTGGATACGGCTGAGCTCCAAAATCCTCTCCCCACAAAATCAACCCCAGCTTTTCCCGTTTTCCCTGATTTTCTTCCCGATATTTTTTTTGGGAAAAGGAGGAAGAGGAGGAGGAAGAAGGAGGAAAAACCTCCTCGACCTCTACTCCAGCTTTACTCAGGCTTTACTCACGGTGCAGAATTCCTGGTGTGGATACGGCTGAGCTCCAAAATCCTCTCACAACAAAACCAATCCCGGCTGTTCCCGTTTTCCCTGATTTTCATCCCGATTTATTTTTGGGAAAAGGAGGAAGAGGAGGAGGAAGAAGGAGGAAAAACCTCCTCGACCTCTACTCCAGCTTTACTCAGGCTTTACTCACGGTGCAGAATTCCTGGTGTGGATTTTGCTGAGCTCCAAAATCCTCTCACAACAAAACCAATCCCGGCTTTTCCCGTTTTCCCTGATTTTCATCCCAATTTTTTTTTGGGAAAAGGAGGAAGAGGAGGAGGAGGAGGGGGAGGAGGAGACGGGAGCAA